CTGGTCCGATAGTAATCCGGTACCTTGTCAACGAGGCTTCAAGTGTTTTTCATACGCAGGTACACCCACGGAAGAATGCTTTTACATTATTATTATATGCCAAAATTGGTGGAAATCTGATTCTTTTGATTTGTTTACTCTTTCAAAGATAACATATATAATCATTTAGACTTCCGTGTGTGTACGTGCGTATGAAAAACGCGTGCGTGGAAAGCAGCCTCAATAGAATAGAAAAAGAGGTAAATTATAAGAAAGTTGTTAAACTTGGACTTGTTAGATTTGGAATTATTCCCCAAATCCTCGAGTTTTTCACTTCTCTATGTTCTCCCCAGTGTTTTTTAAGGCGGTATTATTTAAGCGGTTATTGCCATTATCTCACTGAAAATATATGATTTAGACTTAGAGTATGGTGGCCCATTGTTCTCATAAGAAAATACAGTCACTATATTATTTTTAAGTGAAAAGTTATTAAAAAAAATACTAAATTTGAAAAAAAACACAAAAATAGTTAACAGTTTTTTAAAAATTATTTAAATAAAAAAACAGAACGAAGAAAATAAAACAACAACAAAGAATTATTGATAAAATAAAATTAAAATAAAACATAAAAATTAAAATATCTAGTTTGAATTAAACATTGAAAATAACAAGCAATTCGAAAGCCAAAATCCGAAATGAAGATGAAATTGAAACGAGATATCGTTGTAGAATGACTATGAAAACACTGGGCCACACATTGGCCCATCGTTCTCATAGTATTTCAAATTAAAACTGAAATAGTTTGTCACTGGCCCAGTATTCTCATAGCCTGCGACGTTTTTGGTCAGCTGCATGTTTCCCGCGAAATGTTTCCCTTTCCCGCCAAAATATTGTGTTTTTTATTGTTCGCAAGTGGCCACACAAATGCACTTCGAACTTGTAGATTTCGAAAGATCTTTTTAGTAACTGTAAGCTTCCAAATACCTATGAAGAACAATGAAGCGAAGGCAAGTGACTTGGGACCGTTTACAAGGGGAGATGAGCGACAAAAGAAGGAAATCTGGTGATGCAATGTCTAGTCGAAAGAAGAAGGGATCAGCTCCGAGTGAAGTCATAGTACAGAGACTTGCTGCAGAAGCAGACTCCAAACAAACTTATAGGCCTGTTCAGCCGAGAGAATTTGTGGAATTTCCACATGAAGACTTAAGTTTACATAACTTGAAGAAGGCTTGTGCTGCCCATTTTAACCTGCCAGTTAGCACATGTGATATTTTGGTCTCAAATAAAGGACCATCGTGCTCGAATATAGCACAGATCCCTCACCGAAAAGACAAGGTATTTATTAAAGCTTCATTTTTATGCTGCTGCGGTATAGCTATGTTTTTTCCTTTTATTCTTCAATTTCTTGATCAGCAAATATAGAATTACTTTTGACAGGTGCCACACAGGCCTTTTTTAAAATAGAACAAGGTGCATTCTGGTCTAGCTTCAGTGCAAACAACTCCATATAAAACATGATGAATTAAGTATTTTGTACCAAACAATACCACAATCACGCACAATGCACCTTGTTCTATTTCAGAAAAGGAGGCCCCAAATACTAGATTAACAATACAGGTGACTTCCCATATTACTTATCTGAAATTAAGTATTATTAGGGCCAATATTCAATAAGGTTTATGATTAGGATTCTGGTTAGAATTACAAATAGCATTAGTGTTAGGATTGCCAAGATTAACTTTGTTAATAATTTCAGATTGGAAATTGACCATATTGTAGGCTCACTTTATGCCATTCTTGGGAGTCAAAAGCAGTTCCTTGGGGAGGTCACCTCACACACTCATATCATTGGCTTTATATTAGTTATATATAATATAGGCAGTTTAATAGTTACAGTATGAATTTTGTAAAGAACATCCAACCCAAAGATACTTATTAATTGCCATTAATAGACTGTTGTTGGTGGTGGTCTGGATGGAGAAATTGTTAGGGATGAAGCTTTGCATTACCTCCTAATTAACCAAATACAATGTGTTCGACAAGAATCTTCACCCCCAAAATAATGTTCACGTTGTTATAGACTTAAAGTCCAATTTTATTAAAAGATTTAGGATAATTCAAGTTACAATTTCCCCTTTTTTTATAACTTAATTTACCCTCCCTCCAACTTCACTGACTCTCTTCTACAATAACATTTTTACGTTATGTGAACAAAATTCTCTCTTTTCAATAGGTTTACCTGGTGAGGTTTGTGGTTCTTCAAGAGCAAGAAGAGAATTCAGAATTGCCATGGGAAAAAAGTAGCAGTAGCTCAAAAAGTTTACCATTACCTGGTCATCACAAGAGGCAGGTATGGAGCGTGGATGACCCTCCTGTATGCCCAAAGCCAAGTATCCCCGAAACCCAGTTTCCTGCATCAGTATCAATTGAGACGTTACTAAATGCAGGAAAACTAGTGCAACCAAGATTTTCAAAAAAGGCTGTACTAAACTTTGAAAAATTTGATATTGAATCAGGTGCATGGAAGAATGCAATGAATGTTGAATGTGAAGTAGAGTGTCAAAAATTTTCTTCTGGTGCATTTCGAGATGCCTTCCATGTTACCACCATGCATGGGGAGAAGTGGGTTATTAAGACCTATAACCAGAAGGCAAAAACCACAATAATTGATACAGTAAAGTCATCTGTGGAAGATCACTGCAGAAAACAAGTCCAGATGCACACAGCGGCAAGACACATTGCCAGCAAATTTGAGAGGAAAGCACCTTCTGAATTTGGGCAGTGTTTCCGCTACAATCGGTGCTACTATACAAATTTTGATGGCCAGCACGCCACGATCGAAGAATATGTTTCAGGCGACTTTGTAAAGTATATTAACAACAACGGAAAGTGTGTTTCTATTCCAGATGATGCCACCCAGGTTCTTAAGGATTTATATGCGAAAGCGCAATGTCTGGTTCACTATAGCTATGTAATTACTGATCACAAACTCATGCTGCTTGATATTCAGGGATCTGAGTCCACACTGTATGACCCAGAAATTGCAACTGAAGAAATTATGGATCAAGAACGTCATGAAGTTTACTTTTGTTGCGGCAATTGCTCCATTGTTGGCATTGAGACATTTATGTCAGAGCATCAATGCAATAATTATTGCGAGATGATGAAACTAAATTGAGGTAAACATATAGCAATACTTATTGAACTATTATTGAACAGTTTGAACTATTTCAAAAATTAACTGTTTGAAAACTTTCTAGTTATGGTTTGGTTATATACATGAGTATCCTAACCATACCTAATCCAAAATCAAGTAAATAATTAAATAAACATGTTTACTTCATACAAAGTTACATGACGCATTGCTGCGTGTGAAGCCATGTGTCACTCATCAAATTTTTACAAAAAAATCCTGTGGTTTCAGTTTCTCATTATGAAAAAAAATCAGTAAATTGTCTTAAAGGTCAGTAAGCTGTGATAGATTAAGGTAGCCACAATGCATAAACACTTCAAGAATCAATATCTGGGCAATCAACAATGGGCAATCAGCAATAGACAACCAGCAAAAAAATAGGGTCAGTAATCAAACAGCTTAAGCATGTCAAAGAAACAGTAGGGTTTGCAGAAAAAATAAGGGGACCACAGGAATTTTTTGTTAGGCTTTACTGGATAGGCCATTTTTTGGATTAGGCATACAGGTATGGGTATTGTATCATTTGTTAAATTCTACTTTGAGTTTTTAAGATTTAAGTACTCATTTTTGATGTATTTATTTTAATGTTAAGAAAAACTTGAATGTTTTCTAAAGTTTTTTTTCAGCCTAGTGACTTTTAAACCAACTGTTATTGTGGTGGTGGCTGTTGGTAATTAGCCTGGGCAGTCTGCCGTATTCGAATTTCATTTTTTCGAACTGATTAAACTGTTTGTAGCTATTCTCGGTTTCATCATAGGCAGCCCAATTATGTATGCATGTTTATATAGTTTACTATATATATTATATAATATATATAGTATATAAACATGCATACATAATTGGGCTGCCAATGGTTTCATTGCACTACGGTACTACGCTTAATTCAGTGTGACGTTTACTAGGAGTAAAAAGCTTAGTAAAAGCGGCAATTTAGTGTTTAAAATTAAAAATCCAAGTGTTATGTTTTACATATTTGTCATTGCGGCTCGTGTTTCGTTGTCGCTTGCCGCATGTAAATACAGTAAATGAGTAGCAATTCTTTGAAGGAACTGATTATATCTTCGATTTCATTTGCACCTTTGCGCTTGATAGTATTTCCTATTTTATCTTATTGTTATAGACCACAGTTTAGTTTGATAATCCAAGTTTATTTTTACATCTTTGTCATTGAGCCTCGTGTTTCATCGTCATAGTGGGTCTGGGCAATCTGCCATATACGAAAATACAGCAAACGAGTATAGCAATTCTTTGAACTATTTAAGGCAAGACGACGATGCCGAAGGGTCGCCGAATACATCAAAGGTGGATTACCCTGCAGAAGGAGTCACTTACATTCTTATTTTGTTAACTTTAGAGTTTAGTTCAGGCCCTGTTACACGATGCAATTTTTTTGCAACTTGCAATACAACTCTACTCTTGAGAAATGTAAAATGCCAAAGTACGTGTTTTGCGTTGATATTTTTCCAATCCATATGGCATATCTTCATTGACTTTACTGATTACAAGCAGAATTCCAAGTTGCAAGAAAAATTTCACCATAACACGTCCTTTGTTAAATTAGTTGCGACGTGATCGTGTGACACATATTTCACAAATTTTAACGCTTTTGTAATATTTTTTTAACAATTGTATAGTTTTGCCAATCCTGTTCTTATATGATATTTGGTTCAATTTGTTTTTAATGCCCGCAGCAATCCCTACCTTGCAGGTAACCTAGTTTAGATATATCGTTCCAGGTTTCTAACTTTAGTTCGCTGAGCCATATAGCTCAGTGGCCGCACCCAAAACCTCACCCAGTTCCTGTTTCTCTTCGAGTCTTTGTATTTCTTCAAAGTCTGTGTTCGTTATTTCTCAAAATGATCGTATTCTTGGACTAGAAGCTCCCGAAGTGACCTGATTCGTCGTGGATGATCAACTTATTCATTGGGGAAGTGTTGATTTAGTGTTTGAGCAAAACTAAAGTTGTTTTAACAAGCTTTATCGAGGCAGACAAGCCCAAGTACAAAGACATACGGCTTCGGACCAGTCGTGGTATAAATATACACTACATAAACAAGACCAGATTGCCGAAGGTATTAAATCAAGGTATGTTTTTTCTCATATTGCGATATACGAATGCGTCTTTGTCAATTTTGCTATAAATTACAATGTTTTGACGGGATGGTTTGGTTTATATTGGTGTTTCACGTAGTATATTGCACACATTGTTGCTTATGTATATATGTATATATATTGCTTAGTCAACAGAAATATTCACAATCTGATTTTGCTGGGTACGGGAAGAATTTATTTTTCAACGTTTTGTACTTAATATCGTATGCAAAGTAATACACCAGTCAGGACTATAGTTTTATTTCATCAGTTCTGCTATTAAGTGGTGCTTATTAAAACACATCTAATTTTCAATTTATACAGTGCTCTGCTCCCCTAGTTTTAATACAGGAAATCAATTTTAAAACATTCACTAATTCATTTAGACCCAGAGACCAGAAATATCTTTTAGGAGGAATATCATCATTTCATTCATTTTTTACATGTCCATTTTAAACATTTTATTCCACCTGCTGAGATAAAATTATTAGAGTTATCACAAATCAGTTAGTTCAGTAAGTTCAACTTCAAATGAAATCACCAATTGTTAGGAAAATTGTTAGAAAACCTATTTGGTTGAAACCAGCGTGGAACTGGATAATTATCACATAAGCAGTAAATCATTGGATGAGAACTTTATTAGAATCTGACAATCTGTTTGCCTATCCAATCCTGCATAGTCAAACTGTTATTTTTTGTCCTTTAAAGAAATCTAATCCATGCCAAATATGCATGTATATGGCAGGAGAACTCCCCGGTTAGTGCAAAGGGGAAAATGTTTTCCCAAATGGGTTTCCCCTTAGAAGCAACCTTCAAATCACAGAATAAAGATCAAATTTTATAATATTTTTCATGACACATTATTCATACTGTTTTCTCATTAAGATTTATAGATTAAAACTCGCTTGATCACACAGGTCAAACAATATATTTTATATCAATTGGGTGAAATCAAACACAATCCAATGGAGATTTTTCAGACATAATATATTGTAAATTCTAAATTGATTGGATTCTGATTAGATTACAGTTAAACTATTATAGAAACAAACTTAATCACTACTCACAGTACCTGAAGAGTCGATCTCCACTGATTGTCAAACTATCGTTCTCTCTCGCACACTTGTCTCACAATGGACCCAATATTCTTATCTTCTCTGTTTACACTAACACCTAATCACTAATTCAATCACATTTCATGCAAATCAAATAGGATCATGCTAAATTTATTTAAACTATGAAATAATTAATAACCAAAATAATCTAATAATAATAACTGAAAAAATCAAACCATATGTAAACTGTCTGATCCAGAGGTGATAAAATTAAAAGTCTCATAAAACTCTGATTTCCTAACAGTGTTATTCAGACAGTATTCATAAAACTTTTAAATGATTCTTGCATGTGCATGAGAACTAACATACTACTGTATTTGCAAAATAATTTGTGTGACAAGGTGCTGCACTTGCGACTTCAATCACGTCCGGGAAAACCCATTTTTGAATATTAATTTTAAAAAAGTTACTTTAAATGATCTGTATATGTTCACTGGATGACTGGAATAGACAAAACACTTCTCAACGTTTCGACGTGAGGACCTGAGGTCCTTTGTCAGGAGAGTTAGAATGAAAGTAAATAGGGGAGAATACATGTTTTGTATGGGGGCAAAACACATGATAAAAATGGGCCAATTAGAAAACAAAAAATCAAAACAACGCCTGACTCTGGGCTAAGAATAGCCCGCAATGAGGGAAGCCTGATCAGCAACGAAAACATAATAACATATTACAACCATTGACATATATAATTATGCATATATATATATATATATATATATATATATATATATATATATATATATATATATATATATATATATATAATATATATATATATATATATATATATATATATATATATATACGTACATACGTTATACGTATGAAGCAACGATTATTAGTAAATGCTTATTAATTTGATAGATTTAGTATATATTCAAGGCTCAGATATTAGAAAACACCGCTGTTTCTCACGAGCTTCAAAATTTGACCTGATGGTAATCCAATGGTAATACAGTGTGAACAGCTTTAAGCCTTTTTCATGCGCACGTAACCCCAAAATTGTTAACTCATCTCCAGAATAATATGATGTTATCGATAATATGATGTTATATGATGCAACACATTTTCAGACTGCAGTTTAAGACCCTCGTGTGACTAAAGAGACGCATCATCCTTCTGTTATAAATACAGGGTATTAACCAGAAAACATTTTTAGTTGAAGTTTGATTTGAATTATATAACGTCATCAGTCCTGAACGAAAGAGTAACATGAGAAACACGCGCTCGCTTTCCTAGCCATATTTTAAAGACAGCCAACTCGCTGATCCTCACACGTAACGAAGAAGTATCGGGAGGGACAACTCTCCACAATGAAGGAAGGACATGTTACTTCTTCGTTCAGGACTGATGACGTTATATAATTCAAATCAAACTTCAACTTACAGGTAGCTAAGGGGCTGTTTACATGAGCCCGGTCACCTGAGATTCAACGAAGCGTGAGATGATTTTGAGATATTGAAATGAGCAGATAACATGATCCTGGCAGGCGTATAAACACCACAACAATAGCATGTGCTTTTTTGGTGTCATAAAGACTTATTTCAATACGTCAAAGTCCTCTCACGCTTCGTTCAATCTCGGGTTACCGGGCTCATGTAAACAGCCCCTAAGTCTCGTTTAATTTTCAAATTATATACGTCATCAGTCTACGTCGCTACGAAGAAGCATGAGAATTGAAAGATATGAGGGTCAGCGAGTTGCAAGATGAAAGTGAATCCCAACCATCTCAGTGTTTGATACACCGTCTTAATAGTTTATTATCAGAGCTATACAAGATATATAAGTCATTCGCGATCATTGTTGTCCTCGCTATTAAAGTGATCAAGTATGCTGTTTCCAAAATTAGAGAAGATTGGTTTATTTTAATGTTTGACAAATGTTTCTGCATTTGTCCAACCGCCAGCTTTGAGTACGTCCTTAAGGGACAACCCAGATAGGAATCCGTAAGACGACGACGCCGTCCGACTACTGTGAGCTGAGAAATTGTTTATGTCGATGCCTGAGCCTTGGAGGACACGTTTGACCCAATGACCAATTGTGGAATTTGTAACCGGTTTAAATGGTTTGACGTAACTTAGTAGCAATTTGGAATCAGCTCTCATAGGTTTAGTTTTAATAATATAGTGTTTAATATGGGCTACAGGGCAGAGGCGGATGTCCTCGGAATAGCTTTTAACCTTGATAGGCGGGAGGTGTTTTCCCGCCTTCGTGGTTTTTAGTTTCTCGCGTATTGTAAATATAATTCCATCATCAGTTTCCTGCATGAAATCGAGGTCTAAGCTGGATAAGGTTTGGCATCGTTGTGCAGTTAAAAGAGCCAATAAAGTTGTTAATTTTTTCGTCAATATTGATAGAGGTAGCTCCTCCATGGCAGGCAGGGACTGCATGTATTTAAGAACTGTGGTCACGTCCCACACAATCGAATATCGGGGGAGGGATGGTTTAAGCTCGAATATACCTTTGAGAAATCGGCTCACCAAAGGGTGTTCGCCGAACGTTCGCTCGCTATTCGGAGTTATCACTGCAGATAGTGCAGACCGCGCTGTGCTAATGACACTGTAGCCTACTCCTTGTTTGTATAAGAATATAAGAAATTCGAGCCCATCCTGCATGTTGGCTCGTTCAATATTTATATCATTGTCTTTGCAAAATCTAATCCATTTTAAAAGATAACACTGGTATTGTTTCCCTGTTGCCTGGCGCCATGACGCCATTATAATATTAACTGTTGCATCCGATAACCCTTGGGAAATTAGCTGTTGCCGGATAAGCGGCAGACTAGCAGCACCAGCGACTTGTGTAGGGGGTGTAACTCCCGAGGTTGGCCGGGCAATTTCAACAGGTTTCTCCCCGGACCCACGCGTGCTGGAGGTTGTCGGCACATTTGCATGGCTTTGGCGTACCAGGGTTGTGTTGGCCAGAGTCTGGCACTATCACTACCCCCGTCGCTCATTCTTCCTGGATTTTTTGCAGTAATGCGGCTATGACACTAAATGGAGGGAAGGCATAGAACTGGAATTTAGCCAGGTTAAGTGTGAATGCATCTACCGCCATTGCACCTGGGTCAGGTTGGTATGACACATTAGGTAGGAAATTGAGTATTAAGGCGTGATGCAAAAATATCAATGTTTGGTTGGGATCCAAAGTGGGTGAAAACACCCTTAAGGATTGAGCTGTCAATCATCCATTCAGTATGAGTACAAGTGCTGCGTGATTCAGAGTTAGGTATAGTATTGTCAGCTCCTGGTATATGAGCAGCAGTTAGCCAAATAGTTCGGCCGATACACCATTCCCAGATACGTTTACCCAGAGTGTTGCAATTTGGGCAGAGACTAGTACCCATATGGTTAATTACTGCGATTTTGGTCGTGTTATCAAGTTAGACACGAATATGGCTATTGGTTAAGGATTTACAATAAGTCTTTAGTAAGTAGTTTGTTAAACGGTCAAAATTAAGCGGAAATTGACTTACCGATATTTTAATATGTTTGAGAGTACTCAGGATTACCTGCCGGGTTTGTTTTTGAACATCGTTTTTTTCTGGCCCATCCCCAAAAAATGATGCCTGTTGTTGTCAGCCCGATAGTCAGAATTGTTGTTTCTCGGTGGACGAGAATTAGTGAAACGATTATCGGGTCGATATGTTGGACGGTTGGTCCGGGCTTGTCTATTTCGGCTAGCGCAAGGTTATTATATTACTCGTTTCTTTGGCATCTCTCACTTGTTTAGCCAAATCATCACCAAGAGTAATGCCGGTGGCCTGGCCTGTTGGGCAGTTAACATGATCAGGTTGACCTAAAGTCATTCATGAGAAGATTGAGTATCACTGTTGGTCGGATTCATGGTAATATTTTGTGTTATCCGACTTATCCCGCGAAAAGCTAAATTGTGAAATAAAGCCTGAAAAGGACTAACTAATAAACCATTACCAAATTACTCTACGTTACTCACGTAACCAAGCGATATAAGTCTTGGTAGAAGAGTAAGCTTGAATGATGCGAAGTTGTTTAACAAATCCTCAGCGATGGAAGAATTTGATGTTGCGGCTAAGAAAGCGTGTGCACAATGGCTAGGAAAGCGAGCGCGTGCTTCTCATGGTACTCCGTAGTGACGTAGACTGATGACGTATATAATTGATTTTGAAATAAATAAGACGTCTCCAGACAGTTTAGGTAAACTAAATAATTCAATAATAGAAATATTATGTTTTTGTTTTTATCAAATGCGTACCAGGCTACTAATAAGAATTCATGTATTTCTTGTTTGTTTCAAGTGAAAATACATGCCTTATGCCATATAATAAACTTTTTATTAACCTTGCTTGCTCGGTCTTTACCGAGAATTATCGGACTTCAATCTTTTTGTACAAACCTCGCTCTTCGAGCTCGGTCTGTTCAAAAAGACCTCGGTCCGATATTTCTCGGTAAAGACCTCGCGCTCGGTTAATAAGAAGCTATATATTCTTATTATAAAATGACGGTATTCATTTAGTTTTGTCTCCTTAAATGGCCACGATACGAGGCTGAAACAGATGATGTTGGTTATATATACGGGAGTAAAGTTCTGTGATGTTTCTGTGATGTATACAGTTATAGAAACACGCGTGGGAGTTTGGGAGAATGGGAAATAATGAAATGAGTGGGTTTTCCACGTTATATTATTTATCTGCGAAATATCCACAAACTTACAACCTTAAAAATCAAAACTGTTTCATGATTCCAAGATGCAACGACAACAGATTTAAGAAAACTTATACTATAACAAATCTTAGAATTAAGAATGATGCTAAATTTTAATGTTTTTTATTCTATGACCGAGCAGAATGTATAGTTAGTTTTTATATAACCACAGTTAAACTAGGTATTAAAATGTTTGCTATAAATTATAAATACATTCTTAATATGATACCTACTTTTTATTTCTTTGCGAAAATCATATGTATTTCAACTTTAGGGCTGCGAAGTGATTTGTTTTAGTAAACAGTAATAATAATATTAATTCTATCAAACAAAATTGAGGGTTTGTATACGATCTGAAATATAAATACGGTCTCCCGCTTCGTGGTCGTGCGATTTTTGGTAATGACGCATGAGCGCTCCACTCAGTGCAATTACCATTATAAATACGCATCCCACGTGACACTCACATGACATTCTAGCCGCTGATTGGGTGGGTTAAAGTTACAATCAGAATTTGTTCTTTCTAGGTTTTAAATCTACATTTCAGTCCATCTGTCCGTTATCTTTCCTGGGAATTTTGACCATGTAGTGCAATCATCGCTTTGAAGATTTGAGAAGGTACGTTTGTGTCAGTGTTGGTTACGTTCTTCGAATATTAACAGTATGAGTGTCTATTGTATTCTATTGAGTGGCACAGTACAGAGCTGTGACGTCATTACGTTCTTCGAATATTAACAGTATGAGTGTCTATTGTATTCTATTGAGTGGCATAGTACAGAGCTGTGACGTCATTACGTTCTTCGAATATTAACAGTATGAGTGTCTATTGTATTCTATTGAGTGGCACTGTACAGAGCTGTGACGTCATTACGTTCTTCGAATATTAACAGTATGAGTGTCTATTGTATTCTATTGAGTGGCACAGTACAGAGCTGTGACGTCATTACGTTCTTCGAATATTAACAGTATGAGTGTCTATTGTATTCTATTGAGTGGCATAGTACAGAGCTGTGACGTCATTACGTTCTTCGAATATTAACAGTATGAGTGTCTATTGTATTCTATTGAGTGGCGCTGTACAGAGCTGTGACGTCATTACGTTCTTCGAATATTAACAGTATGAGTGTCTATTGTATTCTATTGAGTGGCACAGTACAGAGCTGTGACGTCATTACGTTCTTCGAATATTAACAGTATGAGTGTCTATTGTATTCTATTGAGTGGCACAGTACAGAGCTGTGACGTCATTTCGTTCTTTGAATATTAACAGTATGAGTGTCTATTGTATTCTATTGAGTGACACAGTACAGAGCTGTGACGTGATTACGTTCTTCGAATATTAACAGTATGAGTGTCTATTGTATTCTATTGAGTGGCACAGTACAGAGCTGTGACGTCATTACGTTCTTCGAATATTAACAGTATGAGTGTCTATTGTATTCTATTGAGTGGCATAGTACAGAGCTGTGACGTCATTACGTTCCTCGAATATTAATAGTATGAGTGTCTATTGTATTCTATTGAGTGGCGCTGTACAGAGCTGTGACGTCATTACGTTCTTCAAATATTAACAGTATGAGTGTCTATTGTATTCTATTGAGTGGCACAATACAGAGCTGTGACGTCATGTTAAATGAACTGGTAACAAATATAGAAATAATTTATAACACGATTGCGAGGCTCAGGGGCTGAAACATGACAATTATCAAACACTAAACAGCAAATAAGGCAGATTAGTTGTTCTGAGACTAAGGATCGATCAATACAGTTTTATTTTAATAAGCCTAATAGTACTGCATAGACTTACGAAAATATAATAATCTAGCTTAACTGGTTATATACTTAGGAGGCACAGCCGCTAGTCTGAGAAGGGAAATGTCTTACGAAGTGTTATTTGTAAAAATAAATGATCGAGAGTTTGCTGAAACAGCTTTTCAAAATTATCACACGAGCTAAATGAAATTTATAAACAGACTTCAACGACAGTTTACAATCGGAAATGAAAAAAATCGAGTAGCAATAGATCTTAAATACACGAGATATTTTCATAAATTATTTGGCATCAAAATACATTTAGCTTATTCCATGTAATATAATATCAAGGGAAATCATATTTCCGCACACTATAAGAAAGACGAAACGTTTACTGGAAATTCTAAAATTAAGTTCATGTGAGTTTGTCATATGGGTGGTAGCAAGTCAGAAACGTTACTCCTAAAACATATGTCTCTTCACAAAATTATTTTCACAAGAAATCCCTTCGTTTAACAAGATCCTTGGGACTTCTCGGTGTAGCCTATATAATTAATACAACCATTTTGTTACAGTAATTAACCGTGTCTAATGCCATGGCTTCTGACGAACTGCAAGAAAAAGCAAATTTTACAAGACTCAGTAGACTTTTGGTTGACAAAGGAACTGAGGCTTTGAGAAGTACATTTGATACCATCCATCCACCTGTTAGTCTGCCCGGAGTACTGGCTGCAAACAAAACATCTCTTCAAAAGACTCGAGTTATTAACAATTCCCAGTGGGATTTACTGTTTCCTCCGTCTGGCAACCCACCAGATTCCAAAACCTTTGATGTCACATTACTTACAGTTCTATTCCGGAACATTTGTGGTTTTCCATCAACAGGATGGAGTGTAATGCCTCCGGATACTGATAGGTCAATGCAAGCGAATATCACAAGAATCAAGTGTTACAGAAATGAAGTTTTCGCACATGTAACAACCACTCGAGTTGACAATTCAACATTTAGTCTTTATGGAACAAAATTGCCCAGGCGATAGTAGAATTGGGCGTTTCACAGAGTGATGTCGACGAAATAAAAACTTCATCATTGGGGCCTGAGGATGAAAATTATGTCGAAATCCTGAAACAGTTGAGAAGTATTGAATGCATTTTAGATCATCTGACCCGAGCTTTGGAGGAAAATCGCCGAGAAAGTGATGAAGATATCTTGCGAAAACTTGCAAAGCATAATTTCAAAAATAAAATTAAAAGAAAAGTGAAATTTTTCCTACCTGGAACGAGAGAGTGGTTGTTAAAAGAAGTTGACGAGTGGTTTTGTAACAGTGAGAGTGACTCAAGAATAAAGTTATTAACAGCTGGACCAGGGTTTGGTAAAAGCGTGTTTGCCGCTAAAATCTGTGAAGATTTTGAGAAGAATGGAAAGCTGGCTGCTTGTCACTTTTGTGATTTCAGCAATTCAAACCTAAGAGATCCGATGACGATGCTGCAGTCTCTCGCAAGTCAGATGTGCGAGAGCGTCCCTGGTTTTAAAGACAAGCTTCTTGATCAGTTAAAGCGACCTCATCAAGTTCAAAACCTGAAAGATGCCTTTCAAATATATTTGCAAAATCCCTTAGATGAATTGGAAATAAAAGAGCCACGTTTAGTCGTGATCGATGGCTTGGATGAAAGTGCTGCTGATAATAAGAATGAAATTGCGCATTTGATTGCTGAATATTTTCCTGATCTTCCCGAGTACATAAAAATCTTGGTGACGAGCAGGCCAGAGATTTCCGTTGCTGATCTAAGAATAAGAGGCGATCAAAAGACAGACATTTCCAATGTTCATTACAACAATAACTCAGATCTGGAACTTTATTTTGAAGAATGTTTTCCAAGTTTAGTCGGCAGGGAAGTGGATGGAAGTGAGATGAGCGATGATTTCTACGAAGATCATCCATATCTTTGGCGAAATAAAACTATTAGTTTACTTTCCATTTTTGTTGCCAAATGCCAGGGCTCATTTCTCTATGCATATCACTTTCAATCTGGGCTAAGGGCTCGCTATGATCTTGAGAAGATAACAAATAATGACGTCATAGAGTTTCTCCCACAAGGACTTAATTCTGTTTACCAAGGATATTTCAAACGCCTTGAAGACGAGCTTAACGCCATAAAACATGAAAAGTTTAATGTGTTGAAAATTTTGGCAATGCTGACTGCTTCCAAAGGATCTCTCCCCCTCACTTTCGTCGCTCAGGTTTTTGGTTTAGCTCCAGATTGTCGCGAAACGAAAGACATCATCAACAAAATTAATGAAACCATATCGTGCTTGTTGTACGTTTCAGATGACATGTTAACCGTTTTTCACAAATCCGTTTTTGATTGGCTTCTAGCGAAGGGCTACAAAGATCACCAGTATACTGTCGAGATCGATTATGGACATAGATCGCTTTGGCTTTTATGCGAAACGGTTTTTGAGAAAATCGTGAAACAGGTTCACTCTGGCCTTGAGTTGCGCTTTACTACAGAAGTAGAATACGCTCTGTTACACGGTTTTGAGCATCTGGTAGAATGCCGTATGGAGGAGGGTATATTTTGGCTAACAGATGTTGTAATCATACATCATCTCATAACTCTGCACTACGAGTATTCAATTCAAAGAATATTGGTGTCCATCTGGAAAGGAGTTCTAGAGAATTTTGAGGTTATAAAGGATGAGTTTCGAGCACGAATTTTATGGTATTTCATTGAATTTAACTCTATAATGGATTGCTACTTAAGCGATACATTGAACCTTTCACGATTCCATTTAGAATCTGTTCTTGCACATTCCCCAAAAGGTTATTTCAATGACGGTGAAAAGAAAGTTGCAGAGTCACTACTGTCAAGCGTCCCCGCGCAGTTTATTAAGTTAAGTTCTTATGAAATATCAGTTTTGCCGCGCGCAATTTGGTGTACCCATACTGACCTCAAGATTACTGCTATTGCTTTGTCATGCGATAAAACAATAATAACTGTTGGGCAAGATAATGGAATAATAAGTGTGCTATCCTCGATAACTTTAAAAGAGATTTGGAATTATTCAACGAAATGCGAAAGAAGTTCATGCTGTACGTTTGCCCCGGACGACTCGTTCATATTATTTGGTAAACTGGACACGGCACTTAACATTTCTGAAAGAAAGGAAGTTCCATTTTTCCCTGGAAATGAAGAGACGTTCCTGTCCTGTGCTTTTTCTTCTAGTGGCAAGCGGCTGGTAACTAGCAACGGCTCAAACACCATTAAACTATGGGACATTGCTAAGCAAAGATTACTCGCGGAACTTGATGCAGCATTCCCTGTTTACTGGTGTGCTTTCACCATGACAGGGTTATATGTTTTAGGGCAAAAGTGCAAAAAACACGACCCTTTCAGCAAGCCGGATTTTAAATACGACGTAGCCAATTCATTTTGTATACCAGACGATGAAGATTCGTTTTGTGCTTGGAACGCCATTACGTTGCAAAGGAGTGATCAGCGCGTATTTCAAAATGCAAAATATGAACGTTCTTCTCCATCAAGATTTACAGATTTGAATTCATTGAATAGATTAGATCTCAAACCATGCCTCCCACGAAATGTTTCACCTAAAAAGCCGGTAGGAGTCGTCGATTATGCGGAGTGCCATTTCATGAGAAAATTAACAATGATAGAAGCTATTCAGGATAATCTGTGGCTCTATGCAGATACTGAAAAACTTATTGCCTTGGAGACAACACCTCATACACAAGAGCAATCCTGTCTGTCACAGCCAACGGAGGTTTATTCGAGTTCGTTTTCTCCTGACGGCTCTCGACTTGCATCCTGCAACTCAGATGGATATATCAACGTATGGAATGTCTATACCAGCCAAGTTGAACAACGTTTCAAGAGCAACGACAGCGAATCGTCATGTGCTTGCTGGTGGTCAAAAGAGTTCTTGTTTGTGTTTGATTTCCTTGGCACGATTCCCCGATTAACGCTATATCCCGTGGATATCAATTTAAAGATTCTGTTCACACAGAGTCAGCAAGTGTCGCTAAGTCATCTTGTGAACGAGTTAGAGCGGCGATTGACAGTCGTTGATTTTTCTCAAGGCTTTCTTACCTTCGAGTGCGGAAAGACAGAACCTGTAAAGATTGTGGATGTCACAGGAGTAGACGGTCCGGCAATAATCATGTTACCTTTCCTTGAGCCTATGATGAAAGTTACAATTTCTCAGGGTGGTACCTTTGTCTTCGGTTGTAATAATTCAAGTTATTATATCTGGAAAAGGAGTGCCGAAAACTCCGTTTTATATGACTTAATTTTCGAGAACACGTATGAACCATATTATACTGGATATTGTAGAGAGGAATTCTCGTGTTGCTTCAGCAATGATTCAAAAGCCGTTGTCGTATGCGGGCTATACCATGAGGGTTTTAAAGTAATTGATCTGGATACCCTCGAATCCAAAAAAATGTTTTTTGATTGTATTTGTCCCGCTCCAAAGTTGTATTGTGTTAATAAGGACAAAGTTGTTATTGCATTGCACCGTTTCTTCATACTATTTTTCGACATGGATTCTGGAACAATTATCGACAGTTCCTTTCAGCGATACTTAACAGCTAGTGCAGCACCGCAAACAAAATTTTCTCCAAAGGAAAACATGCTGTCTTTTCCTAACCAGAAAGGCGATATGATGTTTCTTCGACTGTGTATTCCACCAAATTCTTTGTTGGACGATATTAAACGTGAAGCAGTATTCGCAAAACTTTGTAAATCCGGAGATATAGATTGTTTAATAGAAGATCTAGATATAGAAGAAGAGAAAATGCCACGATTGATTCAGGATTGATATTTAAACAACAATTGTTTTTTTACGATAGCAATAACGGAGATGGTGAATGGTTAATGTTGATATTAGTTATGATGTTGTTGGCGCCTTTTTTTATCAAAAATTCAATCGGTTCAAAGGAGGACCAACCATAGGTTCAAAGTTTATGGCTAGAGAAGGCCACGGAACAAGTAGGCAAACTGTACAGGGTTGATTTTGACTGTAGTAACTCAAAAACATTTTGTGTGAAATGTCTGCATCAGTGAAGCGAATGTGAAATCATTGAACCTAATAAATACGATCGCTAAAATTATTTTCTTTTTTTCTTTACGAAAATCAGGTTTTTGTTCACGTCCCCAAGATTAGCCATTCCGTAGTTTGCAGTAGAAGACTGTTAATAGTCATATCGACAATGGGTTTGAGCAAAATAGCTTTCCAAATAGCTTTAGAACAGCACATTTTGTGTAGATCTGCAGGGTGGAAAATCTCTGGTCACTTCCATACGAGGAGGATCCTAGCTTTCAATGAGGAAGATCTCGCCGACGCAATTTTCCCGTTCGTAAACGGTCTTTGCCATCCCTTACGGTCTTTGCCATCCCTGCTCGAGTTGCATCTCGGGAGCTCGCGAGATCTCGCCACGCGCTACAGCGCGCGCTTGCATCATTGCCCGTGTTCGTGGAAATTTTTATATTTTTGAGTGAAAAATAAATGGCGGCAAGCATAAACTTAGAGGGCTTTGATGATTTACTAGAGAACGCGTTAAAGAAAGTCGACCACCGTTTCCATTGTAAGAAACAGACACAAGAAGAAAAGCAGAAATTCGAGAGTGCTATTTTGGAAAAGCTTCCCGAGGATTACCTTTACAAAGTCAATGAATGTTATGGTACTGAATCACAGTTTAAGTTGAAGGTAACTAAAGATAATTTTTCGTCGGATGATTTAAAGGGATGGCTTGCCGAATTTCAAGCCCTCAACAATGTAACTCTCAAAGTTAGAGCAAAGAAGAAAGAAACGAAGGGTTATTCCACCCAGCATTACTACAGATGCCAACACGACACCAGACGCTGGAGTGATTTGCAATCGACTTCAAGTCTTGACTTTATTGATGGCTATTACAGAATTTCAAAAATTAATATATATTACATGAATAATTTCATATAATATAAACA